GCAATTAGAAAAAATAAGCAAACTCATGTAATTGAATGTTGCTTCTTTCCCCCAAAATAACTACAATAGATTATATATAACCTGAAAAATGCTCACAATTAAAATGCCAACTGCTGGTCACTGCTGGTGCCTATAAATACAATTTCTATTAGTGGTTATCTACCATTGATCTCTTACTTTTTAAACTGAGGAATGAAAAATACAAATACAAATATACAAATACAAATAATGAAAGATACAGATATCTTAGGGAAAGAGTGTCAACAGGAAGACTTCTCCCCTTTTCTGTGAGCCCTGTCACAATTCCAGGATGCAAATCCCAAAAGTACTTCAGTACTTTGAGCTTGGCCTAGGTTGGGCTGCAGAGCTAAGAGGGCAGGAAAACCAAGATGATGTGGTCCCTTGGAATTTCCATGAACTAAAATGATCACACAACATTTCAGGAATGGAATCTGTATATCAGGAAATATGACCATGAAAATGAAATTTGAAATATTAGATATTTGGAGATAATAATAATAATGATAGTAATAATAGTAATAGCAGCTTTCATTTATTGTGTCAGTAAATGAAATGAAATACTTTATAGCTATTATTACATTTCATCTTTACTCAAACCCTACAAAGTATGTGTAAAATTATCATAACTTTACAGATGAGAAGGCACAAAGAGGTTGAGTAACTTGTCCAGGGTCACAAAGTACAATCCTCCAGAGTTGGTGATCTTAAATAAAATGCTTCACTACATAGTAGTATCAGTCAGGACAATAATATGCTAAGCATAGGAGAAAGGAAGCCTATTACCATTAATATCACCACCATTGACTTCGAACTTCAAGCTTCATCATAAATCAACTTTGATTCTTTTCCATCTCCAAACACAATTAATTTAGTAAATCTAACAATTCTTCCCCAATTTGATTATATTCCGCAAACATGTATAGAGCATCCATTATGTAAAAAGCCTTGTACTAGACAGAGTAAAACTTTTATATCTAGGTTTATCACAGGATTTCTGCTTTCCCAAGAAAGAAACAGATAACTGAAGGGGAAAGGAAATAGATTTTATCTATGTCTTTTACAAATCTAAAGGAAGTATATTAAGCATGACAGAATCAGCAAATAATTCTTATTCATTACACTTAGGATGTAGCACATCTGCAAATGTATTCATTCATTTAAATTTGGTTAATTGTTCCATATAGATCTAGTTAATAAATTCTGATATACATAGGATTAAAGCCAACACTTACACAACGCCGTGTACCAGACACTGATCTAAGCACTTTACACAGATTTATCTCATTTAAGCATGGATTTACATTCATTTAATCCTCATGACAATCTTATAAAGAAGTTATTATTATCCCCATTTCACAGATGAGTAAACTGAGGGACAGTGGATTTAAGTAACTTGTCCGGAATCATACAGGTAGTAAATGGCAGAGATGGGATTCATTCATGCCCAGGCACTCTGGCTCCAGAGTCCGTGCTCTTGACCACTGTCTTCTAAAGAGGAGGGAAAAAAAATCTGGAACTTGGAATAAATCATTAATGCGGTGGTAAATAACAAAAATCATGGTATTCTCTGCCCTTTATGCCTGATGCAATGTCAAATATAGAAAACATTTTTTTGCAGGAAAGGATAAAAACTAAGGGAAAGAGGGAACAAACTCATTAACTATAACTCTTGCTTACATCTAAACTATCTGAGATCTTAATTGCTCTTTGTAATCATTGGCGCTTTAACCTCAAACACCACTTTTCACATATTTCTGAAAATAAAAGTGTTATTCACATCATGATGATGCTTTTTTCTGTTCATTTGTGTGTTATTCTGCACAGGTAGGCAGTAGGTCAACAGTGCAGAAACCAGGACTCTAACAAAGGTGGAGAGGTTTGACGTACATGTGACAAATGCTCTTACTTTCTTATGAGTGTCTAAAACATGTTGTCTCATCTCCACATTTCGTAAGAATGCTGACCATTCTACCAATTCTTCTATAACCACTATTAGGTACAGCATTTATTTCTGTGTCTGCCTAACAAAAATTCTTTCTTGAATGATGCGCTATGGATAGTTCTGATAACCAGAAATTCAACGAATCACCTATACACTCTAAGGCTACTTTTCTTGTGCATTTGGGAAAAACAGGGCAGTCAGGAGCTCTGCTGGAGTGACTTTTCCTACTTCTGAGAGAACATGTATAAGACTAATTACACTGATGAGAAGTTTGTGGCCTCTTAACCATACAACTCTGGTAGAGCTCACTTACATATCAAGGTTACTAGAGCAGAATGCTATCTTTGTTAGATTTAAAGTCAGTACCTATTAGGCAAAAAGTATACAAAGCAAAAATTTCCCCTTAAAAAGCTGTTAAATAGATATTAAGTTCAACCTACATGATTTGGTGAAGCCAATCTTTTACAGTAAAATGCAGTTTTACTACATTAATAGAGGAGTATTAATAGAGTTCATGTGCCAAATAAGATTTTACAGTAATGGAAAAAAAGGATTTTTTCCCCTCCCTTATAGTTTTAGAGCGGGGCAGGGAGGGAGAACAGCAACTCAGCTGAGCCCAACTAAACTAAAAGCATATGCTGTATAACCCCACCAAACTACTCATTCTGTTGATTTACATACTTTTTATTGTAGCCTATTAAGTATTTTCAAACTTTACAAAAAGTAAAATAAAAAAATCTATCAGGAATGTAAAACCAAAAAAATTTTTAAATGATACAACTTGCTGTGATGGAAATGTATTATTTATACTGGAAAAGTCTAAATAAATTTCACTGACATAATTTCTATAAAAGTACCTGCAATTTCATTAAAATTTACATTGACTTTTACAATGTGTCAAAATTGGTTTTTAGCCACTATCAGTATTTCTCCTGAATTTAAAAAATTCAACATACTATGATACTCAGTAGAATAAATACTTTGGTAAACCAAGATTCTTATTAACAAAATTACATCCATCTATACTTATGATTATGAAAAAAATGGTCAACTTAGTAGATGTTTAATGATAAACTCAAAAAGTTGATAAACTTCCTATACAGCAGTGTTGAGGGCAGCTTCAAAGATAACCATAACTGTCTTTCCCTGGTGAGAAGAGTTCAGGGAATTAAATTGCTTGAAATTATAAATAAAACATAACTTCTTAACTAGATAACTAAACCATTTTAGGTTCAAAATCAAGAAGCAAAGTGAGTGGAAGAGTGGATTTCAGTGAGAATAAAAATAAAGGGTAACATTAAATCACTACTCTATCTGATTTCTCAGTAGACAGGTAAGAAAAAAAATATATATATAGTTGTATGGTAGACTAGGAATAGCTAAAGATTAATCTGGATTTTTAAACAGAAAACTAGTTTACTATAAAATCAATTTAACTTTTCACTATACACAATATACACTCAAAAAAATTGAGTAAAAAACAGCATTTCATATTCACCTACAGATCAAAAAGCAAAAAAGAAAAGGAAGATTTGCTTTGAAGTCCATCTCTAGAGGCAAACTTAATTTCACAATCATGAAATATGTAAATGTTTGGATATACTATTATGTTCTCTTCTCCTAGAATCCTATTTAGCACTCAAGTGAAAAAAAAAACTGAAGTTTGAAAGGAAAGTAAACATAAGGTACAAAGGCATCATTTAATGCATTTTAAGAAATAATATGTTATCACACAGTAACTCAAGACTTTGAAAGAAAATAATCCAATTTTAATAAATAGTATTTTGTTCTCCACTATATAAGACTCATATTTCACAATCAAAACAGGAAACCTACCTTTCCTATTCACAATATTATTTAAAGAATCAAAAACTTTTAAAGGAAGGAAATTTGGACATCAAAGATAAAATCTATGACTATCCCCAAAATAAAATAAGGTGTCCAAGATTTTACCCAGCTTTCTCAGCACTGAGTCCCAAAAGGAAAACACTAAAAACCACGTTTAATTGTCTCTCTATATATGTTTTTGGATTCTATAGGACTATTCTATTTCTTCCCAAAGTATTTAAAATAAATTAAACATAGGCTACAGCCAAATCTAATAACAAACCACATATTTTAACTCAGCATTTTTCAATGCAAAACAGCATAACCCATATGAAGACTATGAACTCCAATCACATATTGCTTCCTTCCACTTATGCCAATTTGCTTCTAGGATTAAGTGTCCATAAATTTTATGCTTGTCCATCTTCTACTGGTTAATTCTAAGAGAAGTAAACAATTCACTGTTCATGCAAAGTATAACATTTTTGAAAAGTTATCCCTTAACCTCATCAATTTACTGTGGAGTCCAGGAACAGAGTTTAATTTTACTGACAATTCTTTGGTCTAATTTTTAGTATTTCAGTCTCATTATTTTAAAGTTTTGGGGGATTTTTTGTTCGTTTGTTTATTGCTTAAAAAAGGCTTTAACCTTTTGACCTTTCCAAGTATAAAATGTTAGCTTGGTCCTATTTTCTCTTAACTGCCAACCAAGAAATGTCATCTGTTATGTCTGTTTTGATATGCTTCCAAGAGACAGGGCTATAGAGTCCCTGATATAAACAGCTGATGACTACTGGAACAAGAACGGAGGAGGGAAGACTGGAAACTGATATTTGGAAAGTCAGTGCCATCTCTCAAAGGTAGTACATGAAGAAAACAATACACAAAGAAAAATGGCTATGTATGGAGAGAATAGTTAGTGAGGCATTCCAAACTCTTCTAACTTTAGTAATGAGTACTGCAGGTAATCTAGGTGTAGAAATAACACCAAGAACATTTCCTTCATTTTAAGAGATAAACTCTCAAAGTATGACAGTAAATTAAAATATAAAAAAAAATTAAATCTACCATGAGGGTAGTGCATATTCTATGGTATTCCCATGTAAATATGTTAATCTTAATTTCTCTTAAGATACAGAGCTCATATATGAAAAACCTTATTTATTCTGCCAAATTATAGTTTTAATCAAGGGTTGATGAACGAACTTACTCTAGATGAGTCATAAGAGGGGCTTGGTTGACCACTTGTTCCCCAAGATGTTGTACCTCCTCGTTCATCCATACCTAAGGAGAGAAGAAAGTGAAAGATATAAATCCAAAAGGCTACTATGATGGATTTGTTTTCACACAGTACAGCAGAGAGTACAATTCAGCAAGTAGTATTTGCATTTGTATGGAACTAGCTGTGTATCAATTCGTGTCTCAGAAACCCGAAGAAAGTAAGTTACCTCAGAAAGTCTTCATCACTGCTCCATACAACGTCCTTTATAAGGTGCAGAATTTCAGAACCAAAACGTCTTTGGAGACTTTAAAATAGGGCATAATCTAGGTCTCCTCATCCACTGCTACTTCTTTTTTTATTTTTAATTTTTTTAAAGATTTTCTTTATTTTTTTGACAGAGGGAGACACAGCAAGAGAGGGAACACAAGCAGGGGGAGTGGGAGAGGGAGAAGCAGGCTTCCTGCTGAGCAAGGAGCCCGATGTGGGGCTCAATCCCAGGACCCTGGGATCATGACCTGAGCCAAAGGCTTAACGACTGAGCTACCCAGGCGCCCCTCCACTGCTACTTCTAAGAGTAGATGAAACCCCCAAACTTCTATAGTTTAGTCCTGTCTACATGAAAATATGAAGAATTTAGTTCTTATGGATAAGCCTTAGAAAATGAAGCAAGTTGGGGAGCCTAGGTGGCTCAGTTGGTTAAGCGTCTGACTCTTGATTTCAGCTCGGGTCATGATCTCAGGGTTGTGAGATCAAGCCCCACACTGGGCTCTGCACTGGGCATGGAGCCTGCTTAAGATTCTCGCCCTCTGCCCCTCCCCTTCTCTAAAAAAAAAAAAAGAGAATAAAGCAATTTGGACAACTGTTCAAGTTAATAAAACTGGTTTCTAATATAACATTGACTAGATATTCTTAACTGGAGATATCAAAGTAAATCAAACTATACCAAATCATATCAAATCAATGTTAGTTACATTAAAACTAATAAAAATGATGTGACAACTTATCCTAGTAAAACCTCCTCTAAAATCTGATTCTAAATGAGTAGATCTACTCTTCTGAAAATTGCAAAGGATAACTCAAAGTAAAAAAGGATTAACAAAAAAATCAATTTATTGTGCTCCTTAATGTGCCCTCTGAAGCTTTGGCTCCATTATTTTCACCTTCCAGTCAGTCCCTAGAAAAGTTGAAAGAGCTGAAGACCTCTCAATCCAGGTATCTCTTCCTTTTCTGTCTTGAGGACCAGTCTTTTTTATCCTTGACCCTAACAGGGTATTTTTTCCCAAACCCTTTCCAAGTTTTCTATGATGAAACACAAAGAGTTGATTTTTTTCATTCTTTCATGAGAAAACTCTAGATGTTACAAAGACAACATTCTGCTAAGTTTAGAACCTCTTTTTCTTAAAAAAATAAAAATACAAAACTTCCTTGAAGTCCTCTGTGATTTAGATGAGAACGTGGTCTGTAGTGAGTTAAATACCACAAATTCTCCAGGAACCAGCCACGATTCTCAAATCTCTTTCACAAGGACAGGACTGCCAACTGAGGGGGCAGGTGACAAACAGGAAAAGAGGAGTCAATTTCCAAAGTAGAACTTACTAATCACTAAATCATTAGTTGGTAGGTCCTTAATTTATTCTTTTTATGAACCTGTACTTTCTATATTAAGTGATTAACGTGTATTTTAAAACGTTTTTAAAAACACTGTAGTACAAAGATGGGTACCTACTACAGAAAACACTCCAGGCACATTTTCAATCGAACCAGAAGCTTTGAAAACACAGAGAGATCACAAATATACAATGTTTTGTTCATGCTTAGATAATTCTTACTAAAATTCTAGATTTAGGAAAGATTCTATAAGTTTGGGAAATATCGCTAAAAATATACTTTGTAGCCATCTCTCCAGTATCACTAGGTACCTGTGGGCTATATTCCAAGCATTTTCTTTGTAATCAACACCGTAGAATAGCAGTCAGAATTCCTATGAGGCCCAATCCAAGAAAAGGCTATTAACCCACAAAATCCGGTAATTAAAAACTACTGATGAAACTGCAAATAATTTTATGAAATAATTTTACTTTTTTAAATCATACTTTCCACCATTTGCAACTGTTTTTCTATATAAGTTAAGATTTTTTTATACTACATAGCCAAAGTAAAATACAAACTTAAATTGACTACAGAAGGCAGAGTCTCAAATATTTGTACACCCCTATTCTATTGCATTATTTACAATAGCCAAAAGGTGGAAGCAAGTCAAGTATCCATTGGCAGATGAATGGATATATAAAATGTGACATATACATAAAATGCAATACTATTGAGCCTTAAAAATGAAGGAACTTCTGGGCACCTGGGTGTGGCTTAGTTGGTTAAACGACTGCCTTTGGCTCAGATCATGATCCTGGAGTCCCAGGATTGAGTCCCGCATCGGGCTCCCTGCTCAGCGGGGAGTCTGCTTCTCCCTCTGACCCTTCCCCCTCATGCTCTCTCTCTCTCAAATAAATAAAATCTTTAAAAAAAAAATGAAGGAAATTCTTACACATGCGACAACTAGATGCACTTGAAGACATTATGTTAAGTGAAATAAACCAGTCACAAAAAGGACAAATACTGTACAATTCCATTTATATCAGGTGCCTAGAGTAGTCAAATCCACGGAGACAAAAAGTAGAATGGTGGGGCTGGGGGGAGGAAGGTAATCATACTTTCAATGAAAGTATTCATTCAACAGAATAGAAACTTATTTTGATGATCATATCCTAATGAAAATAATCAGACCACAGTTTATGACTCTGAACTGTCTTATATCAAATGAGAAACAAATATGAGGCCTATGTGTTATTTACATACATCTGTAAAAGATAATACAAAAAAGATGAGTGCCTGCCCCAGAAAACATCACAGACAAGATTTTTTAAAGATATATAAAATTCTGTGAAAACACAGAATTTTCATCAATTACAATTTTCATCACATGACACTAATTACTCCCACAGTGTAAAAGAAAAGCAAAGATTTAATGAATTAAATGAGATGATAATTAATTAAGCCAACAGCTAAAGAGTATGACCTATAAATGATACTGGACATGGCAGGGGAGGTTCAAAGGATGCTACAGACTAACAAGGATCTGGCTAGGTTTGAAACTCAGAGCTCTATAGTTCTATTGTTAACATATCCAGACTCTGAGAAGGTCGTGGCTGGCACTGACAAAGGCAAGAGTCATCTTTCAGCATCAATGACTCCTTTCTGCTGAAGACAATGGCTCTACAAACAGAAATATGACAGGAATAATAAACTTTCCAAAGCTTCAGCCATAAGACCAAGGTAAGCAGAAAAAAAGAAATCACACACAGAAAATAAACTTAATACAGAATTGTACAAACTGACCAAAATTTATACAAATTGATCAAAATCTAAAGAACTATTTATCAACAAGAAAATACAATATAGTTGCAATACAGTGATTGGGGAGAAAACATTTCTATTAAGATACATCTGTACCATCACTGCCATGTATTTTCTTTCCTCCCCATTTCTAGTCTATGAATTCCAATGTCAACAATTTTTAGAGAAGTTAGTTCCTCGAATGATAGATTAAAATGATAGATGGAAGAGAAAGTTTAACAATTACTGAGTGGTAGAAACACTTTGAGTCTTGTTTAACTTTTTAATAAATTATTCTATTTCTATTCAACAAGATTAAAAGGGTTAATCAATAATTTAATATAGAGATTGAAATGACCTTTTCCTTTTTTAGTATTTTTTTTACTAAATTAAATATTTTATATTTATATTTATCTTTTTTTTTTTTTTTAAGGATTTTATTTATTTATTTGAGAGAGAGAGAATGAGAGAGAGCACTTAGCGGGGGAGGGTCAGAGGGAGAAGCAGACTCCCCGCCGAGCAGGGAGCCCGATGCGGGACTCGATCCAGGGACTCCAGGATCATGACCTGAGCCGAAGGCAGTCGCCTAACCAACTGAGCCACCCAGGCGCCCTATTTATCTTTTTTAATATTTTATATACAGATTTTCTTAAGTACCTGCTTTTTTATATGGAACCAATTAAATACAGTCCAATATATATTTGATTCCACAGGCCCAGTTTCAAAAGGTGTACATACTACTTTTAATATTTTTCCAGCAAAGAACTAACATTAAATTTTTTTACCTTAAATCAAAAAACCATCAAAAATGGTTTGTAAATTCAACAAAACAATTCGCTACCCTCTCATTTAATAGGAAAAGTAACTAGAAACAAATCATAAGTCACTACATACACAGGCAGTTCCTTAAGAGGCTAGGACTCTGGAGAAGGAGTAAGAGATAAAAACTGAGTTTTTGAGGTGTCAGAGCAAAATTCTTGGAGAAGCAAGCAAACTTCTTGGTAAAGTTTAACATATGGCAGTGTTCTCTTTTCTATGAAGAGCTCAGATATTAGTCTACCAGCTTCCTCTCTGCTGCTACCATCTTTAGTTTTTCACCAGAAGTGTTCTCTTGAGTTAACCATAAAACTACCTCACAACTTCTATGCTACTACCTCTTGTTTTATTCTCCTAGTACAGAGTCCTATAGACCTCTCTAGGTTTTTAACCACTAGCAAAACTGGAAACAGACTTTGGTGGGGGAGGGGAATGATGTTTCTATACCCTAAAGACCTTTTTTTTCCTCCCACATGGGCCTAAAATAGTACAGAGTTCATGTACACAAAGCATTACGCATGGTTTGATGAGCCTCAGGGAAGACCTGCCTGGAGGTAAAAGGGGTGAATGAGGAGAAAAGCTGCTGACCAGTTCCATCTTTTCCTACTTGCCACTGTCACCAATGACTCTGCCACCTGAGGCTGAGACTAGCGTAAAGTGACAAACAGGTCTGGAATTGGGAAAATATTTCAGATAGTAGTGGGGAGTCTATTGAGCAGAGAAGGAATAAAAGGAAGAAAGGGGACAATACAAAGAATGGAGTGAAGAGTGGTTAGGATATCCCTGCAGTTAAAACTGGTAAGAAAAACAAGACACTACAACCAGTCTGCTTGGTATCTATCCTTATGAAAAAGGC